GGGAGCATGGGGGATAAATCTCTACAAGGGAGGGTGGAAGTTCCATCTCTGACAATACATGAACACTAGATGGCACCCATAATCTTAACACAGAGTAGAAAGCTGATTGCTTTTTCTTTCTTTCTTTCTTTCTTTCTTTCTTTCTTTCTTTCTTTCTTTCTTTCTTTCTTTCTTTCTTTCTTTCTTTCTTTCTTTCTTTCTTTCCTTCCTTCCTTCCTTCCTTCCTTCCTTCCTTCCTTCCTTCCTTCCTTCCTTCCTTCCTTCCTTTCCTTCCTTCCTTCCTTCCTTCCTTCCTTCCTTCCTTCCTTCCTTCCTTCCTTCTTTCTTTCTTTCCTCCTTCCTTTCCCCCTTCCTTCCTTCCTTCCTTCCTTCCTTCCTTCCTTCCTTCCTTCCTTCCTTCCTTCCTTCCTTTCCTTTCCTTCCTTCCTTCCTTCCTTCCTTCCTTCCTTCCTTCCTTCCTTCCTTCCTTCCTTCCTTCCTTCCTTCCTTCCTTTCCTTCCTTCCTTTTCTCTTTCTTTCTTTCTTTCTTTCTTTCTTTCTTTTTCTTTCTTTCTTTCTTTCTTTCTTTCTTTCTTTCTTTCCTTCCTTCCTTCCTTCCTTCCTTCCTTCCTTTCCTTTCCTTTCCTTCCTTCCTTCCTTCCTTCCTTCCTTCCTTCCTTCCTTCCTTCCTTCCTTCCTTCCTTCCTTCCTTCCTTCCTTCCTTCCTTTCCTTCCTTCCTTCTCTTTCTTTCTTTCTTTCTTTCTTTCTTTCTTTCTTTCTTTCTTTCTTTCTTTCTTCCTTCCTTCCTTCCTTCCTTCCTTCCTTCCTTCCTTCCTTCCTTCCTTCCTTCCTTCCTTCCTTCCTTCCTTTCTTTCTTTCTTTCTTCTTTCTTTCTTTCTTTCTTTCTTTCTTTCTTTCTTTCTTTCTTTCTTTCTTTCTTTCTTTCTTTCTTTCTTTCTTTCTTTTATAGACCTGGCCAGATAGCTCAGTTAGTTAGAACATTGTCCTGATACTCTAAGATTGTGCAATTGATCCCTGGTCAGGGTACAATACACCACCAAAGAATGCATAAACATGTGGAACAACAAATCTCTCTCTTTCTCTCAACAATCAATAAATTTTTTAAATTGCTTAAACATCAATACAAAATTACATAGTATGCATGTAACTCTTCATGCAGCATAGTAGTTCTTTATTTAATTAATCTGTTTTTGCCCTTCTTAATTTTTTAAAATTTCTTTATTGATTAAGGTGTTACATATTTGTCCTTATGGTTTGACAGTTGATTGCCTTTTCTTTAGAGGCAAGTATGCCGACTACCCTGTAGGAAAACAGTCTGTTAGGGGAACTATACAAATAAAACATTTCCCACTGCTGGTGTCCTGAGGGGTGCTCCTTAGTGAGGGTTTGGTGGTCATTTCTGTTTGAGAGGAATTATAAACTTTATCTGCCTCTAAGGAGATTCCCAATGAACACTGGTAACAGATGTAATTGAGAAGTTTTTCAGCGAAGAAACTTGGTACCAGGGTACCCTTTCTCTTAATAGCACTCTAATGTAATCCTGCTGTTTCATATTTTGGGAAATGCGGATCTAGTCCAAGCTCTGTCCCAAAGAAGAAATGGCTCAAACTACCTCCAGAGGTCCTCTTTATACAAGGTTACCTGACACTCTTTAAAAAAGCATCTTGGCACATTCTTAATGCAGAGTTGTTAGTAGAAATATGAAATGCTAAGCATTTTGTTTCCTCTCTTTCCTCAGTATGCTATATCCACATATCTCTATCTCTATCTCTATCTCTATCTCTATCTCTATCTCTATCTCTATCTCTATCTCTATCTCTATCTATCTCTATCTCTCTCTATCTCTTCTATTTCTATCTGTACTCATGCACATATTAGCTATATGACATATCTGCTTTTAGACTGTGAACATTTTGAGGATATTTATCTCAGAACCTGACACATAGTTAAGCCATTAGTAAAATAAATAAACTAGGAAGATTCTATAATTTGTGTGGGAAAATACTTCTGGAAAATAGAAATGGACATTATGCTCCTGATCAGAAAGGTAATTGCCTATTATATAAGTCTCTTCTCCATAAAGACTAATTGAGAGTAGAGACCTACCTTCCAGTTCTCTTTCCAGGGGATTCTATTTTCTTCTCTATATTACATTACTGTTAGCATAACTTGTTTGCAATTAATCTTATATGACCTAGCAATATGTATTGAATTTTTATTTAAGTTGATTACTATTCATAGTTTTTGTTCTTGTATTTTCCAGGAAGGCATATCTTGTCCTGATATGTCCAGTGTATAGATGCAGAATATTCTTCCTACACATTTCATTGTTAATCATTCTATTCTGACAGTTTTATTTTCATATTGTAATGTTTGAGCTTCTCATACCTGTTTATTCTCTTCTCAAAGTGTTAACCAATGAAATTCCAATACTGAGCCTTGAAACTAGCTGCTGTCCAGCCACAGTTTAAATAATTTTCACAAAATTGAAAAGGAGAACTGTCTCCTCTTCCTTTCTACTTACAAAAGGGCAGGTAACAGTTTCATCATTGAACTATTTCTTACAAATATTGTACATATAAAAAGATATATTTGAACTTCAGAGATTGTTCTGTGAACTATATCTCTAAAAAGACTATATAATTCCAATTGGTTGCCTTATGTGGTCCTGGCCATAATATTTAAATGAGTACAACTACTTTTGAAAGTAGAAATACTTGTGAGTTTTCTTTAATGAGCCATAAGAAGATTATTAGCTCATCCCTTTTTCTACCACATCATTGAGATTAAAATGAATAAAACCCGCAGCTTAAGGGATTTCTCATTTAAACAGAGTTGAGTAGTCTAATGACATCTCTGTGCCTCAGTTTTCTTCATTATTAAAATGAGCATACTAAGACATGGGGCTGTTTGTTATAAAGTTAAATTAGTTATAATAGTTGACTGACTCAAAAGTACCAATTAAATATTAGCTCTGTCTAGTTCTGTATGCTCCTGAGTGTGGTGTGTACACAGAGCAGTGTGTACACAGAGTAGTGTGTACTAAGAAGGGCTGAACGAAACCATTGACAGGTTTTGAAGAGAGATTGTGTGGTAGGGAGAAAAAAGACACACTGATTTGGGGTCAGAAGACCTCATTTTGAGTTCAATATCACATTCAGGAGCTGCAGAGTTTTGAACAAATCATGTAGCCTTTCCCAATCCCCTTTCCCTGATGTAGAAAGTGAAAGTAACAATAACCTTTCTTGATCCTTAGAATTTCTTTTAAGATCCTCCAAATTAATGCATGTGAAAATGCTTTGTATCTGGGAACACACTATGATGATGTGAATGCTGACTGTAATAAAAGGATAAGTGGATTCTCATTCTACAGATTTTGAGCCAGGAAAATGAGGATATATTAGTATGTCCTAGTTAGAACTTTAGAATTCATCTCTCAGGCTACAGTGACTTTTTAAAGCATCATTATATTTATTCAAAACCTTTTCATTCAATAAACATTTTTTTGAGAGACTGCTAAGCACAAGGCACTTTGCTAAATGTCAAGGATACAAACTCTTATAACATAGAGAATTTGCTTTCACGGAGCTTTTCCGACTTAGTACAGAAAGAAAGATGTAAATTAATATAGGCATTAAGGTTTAATACTGTATATTAAATCTTATCATTATATCTTATATATCATTTAAGTATAGAAGAAGTAGATGGGAGAAATAGTTGAAGGGGTGATGTTCAGCTCTTGAATGATAGAACAATATAATTTCCTTATTTCTTTCATACTCAATCCTCCCAGACACCTGCTAGCTAATGACTGAACAAAGGTACACATGTGTGGGAAAACCGTATGACACATAAGGCAAGATCAGTGAATACTTTGCTCAGGTCAGCTGACTATATTCTATAGGTAAGTCATGTGTGTGTTTGGGCGGGAGGATGGAACAATGGCTAACAAATATAAGGTTGCTTAGAAAATTCTAGCTATAAGCTATAACTATAAAACAAAAGCAAATTTTTCTAAGTACATGATAAAAAACCATACTGATTGTTTCACTGAGTTATGAACCATAACCTCAGTCATAAGAAGTAGGCTCCTTCTTATGTAATTCCTGATTATTAATTGCATGAGTACCAACATTTCAGTATAGACATAAATACTTACAATGGATTTAACTGCCTACCATAAAGCTTGTACCAGGGAGATAGCTTAATGTAGTGGAAAGAAGCAGTCATTAAATATTTGAGTAAAAGAAAGGACGTGGAGATGAAAGGAGGAAGAAAGGAAAGAGAAAGAAAAGAAATGAAGAAAGTGGCAAAGGAGAGAGGGAAGATGTAATGGATAGTAGAGCTGAATGTTTAAACCCTTGACTCTCTCAAGTTACATAAACTTTGACAAGTTATTTAACTTCTCTGAACCTTATTCTCTTCATCTGAACATGGGGCAATACCTTTCAGGGTAATTGTGAGAATTAAAAATTATTTTCATAATATTCTTGGTAAATAATGAGTGTTCAAAAACTTGTTGTTGGAAATTCTTGCATTTAGGTAAATGATGATGCTGACACTTATCAATATCACCAAATTGTGGATAGCATTATGTTATGTGTTTTCTTGCATAGATGTATGCACAAAACTATACATATTATAAAGGTGCAGTTTTTAGAATAGAATCCTGGATTTGTAAAAAAAAAAAAAAAAAAAAAAAAAAAAAAAAAAAAAAAAAGCATTAAAAAGATACTTACCTTAAAGAGGCATGTTTCTCAATGTTCAATTGGATGCACATATTCTAAGAAAATCCAAATAAAAACACTAGCCCCTTTACCTATATCTAAGGAAGAAACAAACATCAAGCACCTGAACACCATTTAAACTGTAACATGCACCTGAAGCCATAATGCTCTCATCACTTTCTTTTGTAATTAAGGTGCTTTTGGACTCATAACTGAAAGTCATTTTTCCCCTCCTTGAATGGTGGGAATGAAGATTAGAGAGAAATACTCACGGATAGGATCTGGTCTCCTCTCTGGAGCTCTCCACTCAGGTCTGCTGGTCCACCGGCCAGAATGAAGGACACAAAAATACCTTCTCCGTCTTCCCCGCCCACAATGTTGAAGCCCAGGCCAGTGGAGCCTTTGTGCAGCACCACCTTGCGGGGCTCCCTGCAGGAACAAGCAGAGAACACAGCTCATAGGTGATCCGATCAAGACTTAGAGGGCTTTTACTTTCACTGAGATAGGAGATACCAGCAATTCACTTACTTCGCTTCCCAAAGAAAGACAAAGCTGCACATCAAGAAAGATGTTATTATCAGGGGAAGTATTGAATTCCTCACTGAAATAAGTGCCAAAATACCATGCAAAGCCATTTCTTAATTCCAAAACATTTCCTTAAACTAGCCTTACTTTCACTCTGCCATTGTTTAAAATGTCTGTTTTTGTATTGCACACCAAATAGTGCTTGGTAGGATGGATGTATCCAAAAAGAGAGAGAAAACTTGGGGAGCAAGAAACTAGACTGACTAGGCCAGACATCAAAGATCTTACAGAGTTCATTAAAATTTACTCTGTAGGTAGTAGGGACTTGTTGGAAGATGTTGAGGTACCAAGAAGAATTATGATGGGAGGCAGGAAAATCAGTTAGGATGCTGACCAAATGATCCAGGTTCCAGGCAGTGACAGCCTAAACAATGGTGATGGACAAGGACCCAGATGTTGGGGGAGGAGGGGAGGAAGATCATTTAAATAAATCACAAAAGGGAAAAGGTAGTGAAGCCCAAGATGAATGTGATTTTTACAAGTTTCAGTTTCAGGTAATGTTGGCGCATCCACGTGGAGATGTTTGGAAGCAGTCAGACACAAAGGATAGAACTTGGGTCCTTACATGCAGATTTGAGGTCATCAATAAAAAGATAAAAGATCATATTTTGAGCTGACAGTTCACAGAGATTGTGGAGAGGACAGAAAATTATGGAATATAAGATTGTAAGGGATCATAGAAGGCATCTAGTTCTATTTTCTAAGTAGTTTTAAGAAATGTATTCTGCAAGCCTTCAGTTTGACCAATGTGCCTTTTGTTATTTTTGTTTCGTTGTTAATCCTTACCTCAGGATATTTTCCCATTGATTTTTAGAGAGGGTGGGAGAGAGGGAAAGACAGAAACATCAATGTGAGATAAACACATTAATTGGTTGCTTTCTGAACGAACCCTGTAAGTCAGAAATCTGATTGCTTGTCTAAGTCATCTTTTTGGAATTTCACAAGGCCAAATCAGTGTGTCAGCCAGGCCAAGATCTATTGGAAAGCTTGGGGAAAGCCCACTTCCATATCATTCAGTCTGTTGGCAGAATCCAGCTTCTTCAGCTTCTTGTGGTTAGTAGGACTGCACAAGTTAGGGTTTTCCAGAGAAACAGAACCAATAGGAGATATAAGGGATTTTATTGGAATTAGCTCATGCAACCATGGATGCTGAAAAGTCCCAGGATCTACAGGTGGCAAGTTGGAGCCCCAAGGGAGCTGATGATGGAAGTTTCAGTTTAAGTCCCAGTCTGAAGTCAGGAGAGCAATGTCCCAGCTCAAAGATGGTGAGAAAGAGAAAGAGAATATTTTTTAGTAATATGCTTTTTTTTGTTCTATTCAGGCCCTCTATGAGTTGGTTGGAGTCACCCAAATTAAACAGGGCAATCTGCTTCAGTCCATATACTAATTCAGATGTTAATCTCATCTAGGAATACCTTCACACCACCTAGTTCTGCCTCTCTGCTGCCTGATGGGGGTGCAAGTTCAGCTTTGTTTGGCTTATGACACCATCCAGTGAAGGGGGTGGGGGCATCTCATAACTGCCTCTCCAGGCTGTCTCTGGTGGGGTCAGAACTCTAGCTATTGTATAGTGTACTAGCACTGTAAGGATCAGGGGATACTTTTCCCTTTGGTGTTTGGCTGGAGTTGGGCAACTATTATCAAAAGTTTCCCTATTCTATTAGACCACCCTTACCCCAGGTTTTTGGTTTAGGAGCAGGCTGCTTCTTCTTCTTCTTCTTCTTCTTCTTCTTCTTCTTCTTCTTCTTCTTCTTCTTCTTCTTCTTCTTCTTCTTCTTCTTTTTTTAAAGATGTTTTTTGTTTTTTAAAATATATTTTTATTGATTTCAAAGAGGAAGGGTAAGAGAGAGAGAGAGAGAGAGAGAGAGAGAGAGAGAGAGAGAGAGAGAGAGAGAGAAAGAGAGAGAGAGAGAGAGAGAGAGAGAGAGAGAGAGAGAGAGAGAGAGAGAGATCAATGATGAGAGAAAATCATTGATCGGCTGCCTCCTGTATGTCCTCCAACTGGGGATCAAGCCCATTACCTGGGCATGTGCCCTGACCAGGAATGGCACCATGATTTGCTGATTCATAGGTCGATGCTCAACCACTGAGCTGGGCTAACTTTATTTTTAATTAAGAGGCTAAAATTAGAAAGTTATGGGAATATCCTATTTTGGCTGGAGTCAGAAGTCTGAATCTGAACACAATTTGGGGATAGGGGTCAACAAGGTTTTGATGAAGAGTTACTATAGAAATTTACCTTTTCCTGTATAAAAAACACTCTTAGTGAATCCAATGAGATTCAAGCTCTTCATAGTAAACATACTAGTAGATACTAGTATAGAAAAGGGGGCTATTATGACTTTAATATTTATCCATGTGTTAGACATTGTGCTTGATGCTTTCTGGGCATCATCCCATTTATTTCTCAAAGTAGTCATTAGGAGGAGGTTCACTGATGTCTGTAACTGCTTTGAAACTGATCCAAAAGGAAGATGGATGGTTTATTGATAGATGGATAGGTAATCTGTACAGCAAGTGTAGTAACATGTTCATAGTGGAATCTAGGTTGTGCATTGTAGTAAAAGTCTTCAAACTTTTGTATTTAAAAATTTTTATATAAAATCTTAAGAAAAACCATCAACCTGATGAAGACATTATTACAACTTTTTAAATTAGTGAATGAAATGCTTGCCTAAGATTTTACTGTTTTTTAAGTTGTAAAGGTAAGATTACCACACAGATTCTGACTCAAAATCTCTGAGTCTAGAGCATGATCTATTTCAGAGATTGCAAATCAGCAAGCTGAAGGTTTAATCTGTGTTTACAAATTTTTGAATTAGTTGCTTATTTTTAAAATTAGAAAAAAATTGCCTAATGTATGGATTTATGGCTTTTATGAAATCAGATATCCTATCAACACTGACTCTCAAACTCTTTGCATAGCAACCATTGGCTAGAGCAGGGTCCTCTTTAGAGTGGCATTTATTCTCTAGTGTGCCATCATCTCACCTCTTTCTCATGTTTCTCAGACAAAAAACTATCAGTTGCACTTCTTGCAAAGTTAAGAAGAAAGTGAAGTATCTTGTACTGATGCTTCTATCAAAAATGGGAAAGTGAAAGCTTTATGGTACTAGAAAAATGGGAAAGACTATCATTTCTTTGGAAGTAAGAATTATCCTTACATACTTACTATGCAAAGGGACTCTCTGCAGAAAGAATACAGCTTTAAAAGAGCATTGTGGCCTGGCCAGTGTGGCTCAGTGGTTGAGCATTGACCTATGGATCAGGAGGTCATGGTTCAATTCTTGGTCAGGGCATATGCCTGGGCTGTGGGCTCAATCCCAGTGTAGGGGTATACAGGAGGCAGCTAATCAATGATTTTCTCTCATCATTGCTAATTATCTCTCTTTCTTTCCCTTCCTTCTTCCCTTCCTCTCTTCCTCTCTAAAATATATATTTAGAAAACAAAAAAGAACATTGTGAAACCTCATTCCCCATAACTTCTCTGTTACTTATGTGGGCTATTTTATTAGTGACCTCAGCACTTTGGTATATTGCTTCCTATTTGTACGGGCATAAAGCATGTAACTATTGAGTGACGTAGGTTTTATATATTTTAGCTGGACCTCATTTATTCAAATATAATAATCTGAATAAGTCTTTACATTCAATTATTTGGAATTTTCTTAAGTTGTGAGATTTAAATTTTTAAAAAAATATAATCTTATATTGTAGTAAATTATGATGCTTATTTTAATAATGAGGAGAAATAACAAAGAAGTAAATCTGTAAAATATGTAAATATAATGTCCTAAGCACACTCCAAATGATTTACTTTTTCTAATTTAAATTCCTTATATTGAGGACTGATTATATTAAAGTGTATATTTTAATTTTTTAATTTATTTTTTCCTGTTAGAAAATAAAAACCCTGTGAAGTATTAGAGGTTTTATTTTATTAATACTTAGATAAGCCAACTTGTCTATGCTAGTTGAGCTTAGACACATAGTTAATAAATACTAGAGCTAGTTCTTATTTTGATTATTTTAATATTTATTTTTCAGAGCAGTTTTAGGTTCATAGTATCAGAGGAAGGTACAGAGATTTCCTGTATAGCCTCTGCTTTCACACATGCATAACCCTCTACCCATTATCAACATCCCCCACAAGAGTGGTACATTTGTTGCAATTGTTGAACCTACAGGACACATCATTATCACCCAAAATCCAGAGGGTTCACTCTTGTGTCATACATTCTATGGCGTTGGACAACTGTATAATGCTATGTATCCACCATTATAGGACCATACAAAATAGTTTCATGCCGAAACCGGTTTGGCTCAGTGGATAGAGCATTGGCCTGCAGACTGAAAGGTCCCAGGTTCGATTCTGGTTAAGGGCATGTACCTTGGCTGCGGGCACATCCCCAGTGAGGGGTGTGCAGGAGGCAGCTGATCGATGTTTCTCTCTCATCAGTGTTTCTAACTCTCTATCCCTTGCCCTTCCTCTTTGTAAAAAATCAATAAAATATATTAAAAAAATAGTTTCACTGTCCTAAAAAATTCCCTGTGCTTCATGTATTCATCTCCCTCTTCACACAATCCCTTATGACTACTAATCTTTTTATTGTCTTCATAGTTTTGCTTTTTTCCAGAATGCCTTATGGTTGGAATCACACAGTATGTTGCCTTTTCAGATTGGCTTCTTTCATTCAGTAATAAGAATTTAAGGTTCCTTCATGTTTTTTCATGGTTTGATAGGTCATTTCTTTTTATCCCTGAACAATATTCCATTGTCTGGATGTGTCACAGTTGACTTATCTACTCACCTCCCAAAGGACATCTTGATTATTTCCAAGTTT